CAACGAATCAATGTTTTCCATAGTGCATTAATGTGTTTTCTCTATGTAGAGTGCCTTGGACCAATAATATAAAAAATTAGGATACTGCTGTAGATTTTTCAGTAATTTGATCTCTTCATGTACTCATACAAGTACCCTTTCAGTGCATATACTGATACGGGTACTTAAAAAAGTACCTTAGGCAGTAAACCTAATAGGAATTTACAAAGTACCCATATCGGGTACCCTGGTGGAACTTTTCCAGTAAATGGGTACCCTGACCTCCGTACATTCTCTAGGGTACATACGTATATATATGAACTTTTTTGAAACAACATTTAATTATTAATTTCTTTTTGTTATTTTTTTCTGAATTGAAGTGTTTTTCCAATGAATAAAAGCAAGTAAATGATTCTATCACCAAAGAGCAAATACATGATTGACTGAGATTATTGTCTTTTGAGTAAATTATTGAATGATTTATCGAATTAACATAGAACTCGGAATGAATCCAATAAAAAATTTGTCTACCAACGATTAAGATAATACTAGTTCGCTTTACTGACATCTAAATTTTTCAGTTTATTTCATAACCATATGTAGATAAAATATCAAAATATTGAATCTCTAGACTACAACAGCATTTACTCAGTGAAACAAGGTCTTACTGTTGTATGATCAATCTTTAAGGACGTAAATAAGACAAGGGTTTAGTATCGTCATCGTGCACGTCCCGCGTTGCATCTATTCAATTGAAACTTGAAACAAACTACATATAAATATCTTATTTCTATTGATAAAGTATTACTCTGTAATTTGTTCGAAATAACAGAAAACCCTTAGACAACAAATCATTCATACAAGCAAACACTAACATCCATTTATAAAAAAATATATTATTCTACAACACAAGAACAATCTGTAAAAATAAAATACAGACAATGAGAAAAATGCAGAAATATTCATTTGACTAGGAGTCATTGCACGAGAACCACGACCTACGTTGCTCAATGACTTTCTTCGATTTTGATTTTGATTAAAGCAATAGATAGTACTACTAAAGTCAGGTATATGGTACAATTTTCAACGTTCAATATCTTTCCATTGCTGAAAAATGAGAACTTCATTTCTACCACCCAGCGATAGGAATCACTGTAGACGTTATTTTTTTAAATCATGATTTAAAAGAATAACGTCTACAGTGGTTCCTATCGCTGGGTGGTAGAAATGAAGTCCTCATTTTTCAGCAATGGAAAGATATTGAACGTTGAAAATTTTACCATATACCTAACTTTAGTAGTACTATCTATTGCTTTAATCAAAATCAAAATCGGAGAAAGTCATTGAGCAACTTATATTAGAATTGGTCGCAGTTCTCGTGCAATGACTCCTAGATACAAAGTAATTTCCTCAATACATATCTTCTTTCATATTTTTATTAGAAATAATAAAAGTGGATGAAATTAAAACAATTATTGTTGGTTTTATTCATGCATGTAAATTATTTGGTCGAAGAAGCATGATTTTCATTCGGTCGCAATCCCTTATTTTGTAGCTAGGATCAACAAAGCAAATGAAGAAAACTTTATATGACCTCCTGATATTTTTCCTTTGAACAGTCGTTATATGACTCATTTATTAAAGATTATTGAGTTTCGTATTGATTTTGCAATGATTTCTAAGTTAATGAGCTCACTCATTGAATAAGCTGAACGAGAACGGATTAAATATGGCGCAATGATATACTACTGAAGATGTTTCAATTTTTAAGGCTCCGTCAAAAATCGATCTCAAGACAGCAACATCTAAATTGTATGAAACTTTCAGGATATGTTGTGACTGGTGAGAATGTGGGTGTGGGTGGGTTTTTTCTTCACTCACACTCACACACAAAGCACGTGGAAAAAATGGAATTTATTGATTATTAATAGTAAAAGTTATGGTAACTTTACAGTATCGAATTCAGAAAATTCGTAGAATTTTACATCACATTGACATAGAAAAATTACCTTCATGAGGTAGTTCAGACCAGGTTTCATTTAAAATGATGAATATCACAAATTAGTATTGGTCTCTTAAGGTTTGATGAATATGAGCAATAATCAGTATAACGACCATAAGCTTTCTTTACAGCACGAAGATGAGACGTATACGAACATGAAATAGTTTCAAAAAGACTCAATTTTTGTTTCCGTTTTTGTCAGAACATCTAAAAAACGTTGTTCAGATTTTCTTCATCGTGAAGATTGTGTTCCGTCTCCGATTCCATTTTGCTTCACTTTCATCTTTGGTAATTGTTCCAATGTTTCTGAACCAAGTGTCGAGTACTTCGGGTGATTCATCGTTTTAAATGAAATCTTGTTTAAACAGTCTCATGAAAGTAATTTTTCTATGTCAATGTGATGTAAAATTCTAGGAATTTTCTGAATTCGACACTGCAGAGTTGCCATACCCTTTATCGTTTAGCATCGATAAATCTCATTTTCGGCACGCTTTAATTTGCTATAAAATTTGTTATAGATAGTATTTGAAATCGTGGCATGACTCTCCTGGAAAAATAGTTTTCCACACTCTGCATATGACTTAATCTGAAACAATTACATTTCTAGAGCTGTTTTCAGCAAATCTGAACGATTCACCTTTTGGTGATATGATTTTAGCGAGCTTATTGTGAAACAGACTATAGTCAATTCGAAATGATTACTCTGTAAAATAGAGGAAAAAATTTTAGTACACTTTTTATTGCTTTAATTTCTCGTGAGAAACAACTTATTGGGACAGCCTACATAGTGCTCTGATATATCTTTAAGCGGAGTACAACCCTGAAATGTGGACATTTTTCCAAGCACGGTAGTTTCATTGTTTATTCTCAACGCCTGTACATGCCATATGAAACATCAATAACAAATCTTACACAAAATTAAAGCGCGCCGAAAATGAGACTTATCAATACTAAATAGTAAGCGTTATGACAACTTTTTAATGTCAAATTCAAGAAATTTCTAAAATTTTAGACCATATCAGCAGAGAGAAATTCCCTTCACGAAGCAGTTCAAATTAGATCTCATCTGAAATGATGAATATCAAAAATTAATATTTATATTTTTAACACTTGGTGAATATAATCAATATGACGCGCATCAGCACTTTTACAGCCAGAAGAAGAGACAGATCCGGACATAAAATAATTTCAAATAGGTCAATGTTTGTTTCTATGGGTATCAAAACAAATGAAATATGTTGTTTTAGAATTTCTTTATTATGACTATTGTGTTCCATCTCTGATTGCAATTTTGGAGTGTGAATGAATGTGTGTGTACTGTAGCTCCAGACAACACGTACACCCACACTCATCACCGCAGATCACACCCAATCCATCCACATAGACATCATGCTTTTTTTACAGATAATATCAAAGCGATCAAACATGTTGGATCTATTTATGTGTCCTCGTGACGAATTGTATATGAGGATAGGGGCATGGGTATGTGTTGAATGAACATACACAAGCACTGGTACACATACATCCTCAATCGTTCTCTATCACAAAAAATTCCCTGCGTGAGCTGCTCATTGTGAAAATTAATGACGGAGAAGACGATTTACAAAATACATTAACCAAAATTGTCTTCGATTTCGTTAAGCCTATTCAAGAATTCGATATCAATTTCGGATGTACATGTATTGTGTGTCCGAAACGTACACATCAACATTCAAGTATCGATACAATTAATAGTAGGGCAAGTTGTTTGACCAGATCAAACGTGACTAAGGTAAAGCTTGAAATTCGATGATAAATATCTTCATGGCCAAAAATGTGTAACTTTATGAAATAATAGCTTTTTGAAAGCAAAGATATGTAAAGCAAAGTGTGCAACAACGGCGGATGAAGATGAATCCCTGTGTTTGTTTTTTAATTCATAAGATTACTAAAGAAATCATATTAATTATTTAAATGATCGACTCGTCAAGGTCTTCTAAGAAGCAAATTTCTTGTAAAGATAACATGGATGTTTCAAATCTTTTCTATATCATTATAAATTTTCCATACCTATTGTTATGAACATTCTTGGAATCTATTTAGTAAAATCATCAAGCAATATCTCTTATATTTTCCATACTTTTATTTCAGATATATGAATTTAGGAAGTGATGTATGTGTCATGTGAAGCGTCGCATGCCATATATATGCAACAGTTAAAGCATGTGTAGACGAGCCGCTAATGGCGGGATAACCTGATCCATCATGCATTGGTCAATATGAGTAAGACTGCTCCATGTTATTATTTTGTTCTGAAATCTTAGAGAAATTTGGAATGTTCAGCTTCACGAAACTTGGTACCAATCTGATCACATACAGAAGCATTAAATATATCAATAATAAACTGAAAACTCCAACAAAATTTGAAAGTCAGATGCAGTAAATTCCATATCACAAATTGTATGTGTATTAAGATGCTATTTTCAAGATTAGCAAGTGGAATTATTCAACTGGATCGTATTTCGGAACTCTAAACACATTTTAAGATACAAAGAATTGCTAAACTCGAGGCATTAACTTGCATTTCATAGCAATAGTGACGAAGATACATCCGCAAATTTTTCGTCCGATGGCTCATGTTCCAATTAATATCATGCGATAGAGAATGAAATTCTGCAAGTAACACAAATCATGAAACGAATACAGATAAGAAAAGGTCAAATAGGATGCTAATTTACGCATACTATCAAAAATTCGCCAATAGGTTTTTGAATAATTTCTTTGTAAATCAAATCGTCGTAATATAAATTCAGTAACTCACTGAAAGTGATACTTTAGCTAAAGAAGAAGCACAAAAAAGAAAATACGCGACGACAAGTACTTTCTTTTGTTTCAAATGAATAAAAAAGATGATTTTTTGCAATTGATAAGTTAATATGTATTTTTTCGTTTAAAATTTAGATTCTATTGCACAACATTGACAAGTATAATACAAAAAGAGAAGGAAAAACGAAAGTCACTGTTTTTTATTTGTTCTTGTTTATACTGTAAATTTCTTTTCACTTTTATCAACATGCCAATACATTCGAACACTAGTACGATCCATCCAATTAAGATCAACTTTTTTCATTGGTGATGGTATTGAACGATCAAGTCGTTGAGCAGCATGCCTTGAAACAAGATGAATTGTATTTGAGGAACCAAAAAATGTATTCGATGATGTCTATATAAAAGAAAATAGACTTAGGACAGAAAAAAATTAATAAAAAAAAACTTACTTGCCAAAAATATAATATTCCTTCATAAGCTGAATATGAAGCAAGATATTTTCCATCGGGTGAAAATTCTACACATGTAATTACTTCATTTTTTGGATGAGCTTGAAATGGCTAAATGAAAAGAAAACACATTTAAATTTGATGACGAACATATTACGAAATTCTTACTTGATATTTTGGTGTTTTTAAATCATATAAAGCAAGAATACCAGTTTTTGTACCAACACATAATTTGGGTGATTCAGGACAATAGGTTACTATTGGATATCTAAAATAGACAAAATTTATTAAGCTTAACAGAATCTTTCAATGAACAGTGTTGTTCCAAGAGAAACTAAAAGGAACCTAACGATTCAATGTTTAGATGATCATCTTATATAGGCAGAATCAATGAATGAAATCTAATAAGAAACCTATTCGCTTAGAATATTACCTCATACTCACCCCGACACCCAAATTATCACCGGTTGATTACCGATATATCGATGGTTTTTTGTCGGGTTTGAATCACATAGGGAAATTTTGAAAAGACTAAGAGTGCAATTATATATGAGTTGCAGGTTAATAACGAATACAAATCGTCTTCATATTTGTTGTTAGATTTAAAAGTTTTACATACAACAATAGATCTAATTTTATCATACCTTAATAATAATCCAAATGTTTCTGATACAGCTTGAGCACCTTTATGTCGAAGAGTACTTAAATCAATACAATTTAAAGTAATATCAGTAACCTATAAGTAGAAAAAAAAAATAACGAAAAGAAATCCAATAATTTGTTTTTATTTATTTGTTCTAATTTACTTCAAGAATTAATTCTGCAACATCATGTGGACATTTTTCAATAAGAATTCTAATAAGACGAAGTATTTCAGTTTTTTGTTCATTTTTAATTGTTATTGATGTTTGTGATGGTGTTGTTGTACGTGCAGTTGTTGATGATGTTGTTCCAGATTGTGCAAGAACATATTTAGCAATTTCACGTGCAAGTGTTATTATAACTACATTTGAACGAGATGTTGCAATTAAATTAAGGGCTGTTCGTGCTGTTAAACAAGTATCAGTTTTTGGTGTTAATATTCCACTAAGCACACTAAAAAGAAGATTATATTTTTTTTTCTATACAAAAATAAGCAAAAAAAAATAATAAAACTAGAAATGGGTATCGAAACAAAATACAGACAACATTAAAAAAAGAACATGCATGTTGTTTTAACCAACACACCTTGTTGCATTTCGTTGAATTGTTAGATCATATTCTCTAGAGGAAAACAAAGCAAGCAATCCCAGCACCCTCGGTATTAATACTACCTGCTCGTATAAACATTAGGCCGCCTGAAATCATCATTTTCACTCAAAGCCTCATTATTAGAGTATAAAATACTTACTTGCTTGTTACTGTTGAACTATCACTAATAGCACATAAATCAAGTAATGTTAGTAGTACTTGTCCAATATCTAAATATGGTTCCCATACAGTATAACCACGACCAATGAGATCAATTGCTGTTCGACGAATAGCACTGTGCAATGGAATGTGATCAAAATTAGACGGAGATAAAAGACTTGTTAGAATACGACCTAAAATCAGTGATAATTGGATCAGAATAATCTAACATGCGTCTAGTAACAATTGTTGATCGCTTAATTTCGTATTTCTTCGTAATGCAATAGTCACTTTTATTTTTTTTTATTGAGTACTGAAATATGACGTTTCAATATAGTATTGGTTATTGCATCAAAGTTTATAAAAGCCCTTTCATGAATTGTCTTTCGTCATACATGCTTTCGGTTAGCCTAAAAATAATTCTTAAAGAATAAACTATAGACTGACTCGTTTTTTTTGTTTCAGCCTAGTTAAATCCGGATATGGACCTAATGATACTGCATTCAAAATACGAATAAAATATTCTATACTATTCTGTTGGAGAGTTTCTTACTCAATTTTAAAATCATTTCTGGACTATCAACTGTAAATCCTTTAATTGCAACAGATGGTTGTTTTGTTTGTTCAACTTCTTCTCCATATCTTGCCCCAACAATACCAATAAGAACAATCGATAGTAATTGTTGTGCTTTATATTGTTCTTTAGCCGTCGTTGTCGTCGTTGTTGTTTCATTATTGTCTTCAAAAAAAGAAACAAAATAAATCAAAGAAATTTTCTTATTGTCAAAATTTCTTACAAGTTGCATCCTCAAGAAATATATCTCGAATATCTTGATCATATAAAGCTCCATCAGTTTCTTTATTATATGATTGATTAAATAAATTAGACCATTTAGAAATAAATATATGCCATGCATCATTATTATTATGTAAATGATCAAGTTCTTTTTCTAATAATTTTCTAGCAGCATCACGTAACTTTAATAGAAAAGAATGAAAAAACTAAGATAAATAAATAAATAAATTTCTGAATATACTTCTAAACATAAATCTTGCCNTGTAGAATTTTGTTTTCTTTCCCGTGATATAAAAATAATTATTTTATGATGAAAAATGATAGAGATATCACAGTCACAATGAAGGCCTATGAAATGCCCGTTCGCTTTAGGCACATTGACTCTACCGAAAAAATGAAGATAATATCGAAAGAATGAAAAGATTATTGTATATAACGATGTTGAAAATGTAATAACTGTAATAACAAATACGGTACCATGTTGTAAGTATTAAACAATATAAATTCTAAAAGAAAGTGTATCGTGTGAGGCTAAAAAATATCGTTTGAGCTATGAAATTCGAACATTATTTAACATAGATCGGAGATATTTATCGCGGCACCGCTGCTGCCGTAGCGATGCTAGCAGATGTCTTTTTCAAGGAAATTGCAAAACTGCATGTATTTCATTGTTCGCAAATGTAATACTCTGAAACTTGATGAATATCATGGAGTAGTAAGAACAATTCTACGTAGTTAAATACAATCACACCAGTGAAACTCGAAACACTTTTATAATTCATTGCGGAGCGGTAGAGTTGGTTTTTGATCGCGATAGATATCTCCGACATATAAAAATCTTTTATTGATTACTTTAGGAGATATATCTTTTGATCACAGGAAGTCTAGACCCTCCTACACTTTTGACGTCGTACCTGTAAAAGTATGGCCGTCATGGTTGAGTAGTTATGTTGTTCGACACGTATCTACATTGCATTGTGTCCAAAAACCCAGTATAGCTAACCATGGAATGATTGTGAACAAGTCCATTAATGTGTATGGAAAACTTAAGCAATTGAGCGCAAGCACTCTGTATCAGATTGACCTTCGGTTCAGAACTACCGATAGTCAGAATTGTAGAGAAGATACCGAGTTATTAAATTTACTGTTAGCAGCAGGCAGCATTTTATACCGTAAGGTAGTTGACAGACAGGGATATTATTCCCTTTTCCTTCCTTCCTGTGAAAATATTGAGTTGTTGCCTGTTAAACTCTGCCAAATGGTTGAGAGCAGCTTTCCACCAAGCTAAATGGCAAATTTTGAGCGTCTCTCACGTCACAGAGCTATGCAAATAGACTAATGAGAGAAGATCTTCCATTAATAAATCACTTTTGAGTCACGATGATGTACATCATGTCGACTCTAATGAACTATGAATATCCTAAGAAGAACTCAAGTACTTAACATATTGCTGGCAAGTTATTGTACGTTTACGGTATTTTTAGGTGAATGTCGGGCTTCCCCTCAGGAATACTGGAATAACTCATTTTCGAATTTTTACTTGAAACTTTTCATAGATACAGAACTTAATGAGAACAGTACACTGTGAACGCTTCAGATCGTGCCGTTATTCCTATCCTAAGATGCAAGTAGTATAATAAAAGTTTGTATTTTACACTGTACACAAACACTAGCAGATTTGATATTCTTATTCCAGCAAAGAATGGAATCAAAAGACTTGAAAATTTCACAATACACTTTTCCCATTAGATCTCTATGCAAAGTTCTAAGTTAAAATACGACAATAAGTTTTCTTTGTGTTTCTGAGATGGAGCACGATATTGACTTACAACATACTATAGAAATGTAGAATATTCATAACTCATTCGGATCTACACTATATGTATAGTTCAGATGCTTCTCTCATAAGTTTTGTTCAATTCGTTCATATAGCTATTTTTTCTACAGTATATTTTTTTTATCAAACAATGATAAATTGACAGAAATAATTTTTAGCCGAAATTTTTCATTTCCATTTTCATCTTAGGAATACATAAAAGATCGAATAATAATAATAATAAATAAAACAACTATTTCAATGAATATTAGTCAACATATTTTTATTTTGCTGAACAATCTTGAATTATTTTTCTTCTTGATCTAATATATATTTAACTTGTGAGATTATTCAATGATATTTCGTTTATATTTAAAAATATGTTACAGAATTTGTTTCATTTGTCCATATAGTTCCACTACTCATTTGTTTCTTATCATTATTTAATGTTGATTGATAAAAATATTTATATGCTAACCAAATAATAACTCCTAATATTGTTAGAATATCAATTAAAATTAAAATCATTATAATTATTTTAGCAATTTGTCGTTGTCTTGAACAATAAAAAATATTCGATAATATTGAAATTCTTTGTATTGTATGTATACGATCTGTATCATTTAATATTAATGGTAAATACTGACATGTTTTAAAACATACTTGTTGTTTATTAGTATAATCAATTGATATATATTCAATAAAATTAGTTTTTTCACATATTGTTAAAAATTGATTTTCATTATCTTTTGTAGAATTTAAATCGTGAATTATATAATCCGTATGATTTTGATTATAATCAAATATAATTAAAGAATCTTTTGAATTAATATATAATTTTTGATATATCCAATTAATATATAATTGTACTGGTTTATATGAATTAATTGAATTCATATATAAATTACAATGATAAGTTTTTAATCGACATACATATAATTGATATTGAAAATTTTCAAATAAAATATATAAAAAATTCAATTTTTCATCAATAACATAATTTAATATTGTCTGATTTTTTGGCAGGTCTATTAAATAATTTTGTTTATATGGTGTTAATGTTAATGGTAAAGCAAATATTTGTAATAACATTGTTTGATTATTTAATACATATAAATACCGTTGACTAACTGATATATAAATATATGTTGAATATTTAATATTATTTGATTTTTCTTTCCAATAATTATATATAGTATCATAAACATTTAACGCAACTATAGAATATGCTTCATTTAATTGATTAATTAATAAAATAATTGTATTTGTTCGTTTATTAAATAAACCATTTTCAATCGTTGTATTTGCTTTTGTTTCATAGATAATACTTGATGAATGATTTTGTTGAGAATCAAAATTGAATAGAAAAATATATTTTGTTGAAATTACAATAAATACTTGATCATCGCATTTATCAGTAATACTCACTACAGAAGATAAATGGGCTAAGAATATAAATATTGATATGTTTATATTTATTAAAATGGTAAATTTTGCCATCATATGTGTTTGTAAAATGAAAACAGAAAAGATGTTGAATGTCTTTTGAAAGGAATAAAGGTCGAAGATATTTTCTTATCATACAAATTATTAGACCTTTATCGAAATATAAAATGCTATTTAGTATTGATAAGTAAGTTAAGCACATTAAGAAAATACTAATCTTTCACAATAGATATACAAATAGAAAACAATAATTATTATCATTTTACTTCGACATACTATTTTACGCGAAATTTGAACTTTCGAATATTTGTTATGAATAATAACTATTATGGTTGTTCTTATATATATCTCATTCTGATGTAGGTCATTGATTAACACTTAACAGATTATGAAGAAGATTTATATAGTTCGTATTTAAGCATCATACCAACTTTTTGTTTGCAGTTATAGTCAAGTATTAATAATAAGACTTTCGATTGTATACAGATAAACAAAATTTGAGTATTTTTCTCGTTTGAAAAAAATAACATGTCATATTCCATTTGAATATGAACTGATTATTGCGTGACAACAACTCGTCATAATGACTTAATAGTTTTCTTGTTAGAAAGAACAAAGCATGTGCTGCAAAGCTGCGTAAATTTTTTTTTTTTCAAAATAATTATTGAAGGCTGAAAAGTTCTCTGTACACTTCTGTAATTCAGAAGAAAATCTCCATGCAGTGAGAAAATTACTCTTATTATCCGTCTTTTATCGAGCTTTTTAACATTACGATAGATCATTGGTAAAGAGGAAAAAATATAGTTTTCTAGTTATTGGTTAAGTTCGAAATTGATATTTTTCTAACAGCTTTCATGGCGAAATCTCTTCACGACTCAAAAGTGTGATTTCGAAAAATAAGATCGAAGTTATTAAAACCCGATATTTTATGTTCAATTAGAGTTTAGTGAGTCATTCTCAAGAGCACATTATATAAAACAGAATATTAGATACAGTGAGAAAAACTTCATTGAACATTGTAGATGAGAAATCAAGTTTTTTAATAAAATTGTTTTCTATGAAATCTCTGATTTTGTAACTCGAATATTTTGATACCACTAGGAAGCTCGTATGGCACCATCCACACTCACACATAACATGTCTAAAAATTTTGAAAGCTGAATGAAATACATAATCGATAAAAGGTACTTTTCCAATCAAATATTTTCGTAAAAATTTTTAATTTTCGATAAGTATTTCGAACGAAGTATTTTTTACACAACTTTGTACTAGAGACTTACTCTTTCTAACAAGAAAACTATCAACTCTCTACGACGAGCTGCTACCATGCTTTAATGAAAACAAAATTAATGCAGAACTTTTGCACTATCCGTTAGAAAAGTTATGTACGACTTTCAATTTAGTATTAATTAAAATTTTATGCACAGTTCAACAGATTTGTTATAAACATTGCCTTATGATATTGAATGTCTTGAATTGGCTGTTATTAGAGTCTATTGACTTCAAAATGTTTGAACTTTATTTATTAAACAAATTTCAGGTCTAGACCCGGACCAGAACCGTACTCCTAATTTCGATGAAATGCTTTAGTCTGACGAGGAAACGTTTCTAAGTGTCAAATTGATTTTGAGTCGGAACTATATACATTATGCCGATTCTAATGAACTATGAATATCATGAAAAAAGTTCAAGTTAATAGCTTATTACTACCGAGATACTGTATTTTTAGCAGTGTCGTAGTCCTGATTAGAAGTGTTAGTAAAACAAAGTTTCGAATTTCAACTTGAAACTGCATAGAGACAGGTCTTAATGAGAATAGTTTATTGTGAAAGTTTCAGATCTTTTGAATCATTCTATTCTAAAATACAACTATGGTAAAAGTATGCTTTTGACGTAGGCTCATATACAACAGCAAATTTCAATGTTCTTATTTTAAAATAGGCGCTATCGAAAAATCTAAAACTTTCATCATAAGTTATTCTCGTCAAGACCTGTTTCTAGGGAAAGTTTCAAATCGAAATTCAAAACTCAATTTTTCTGATGTTCCTGAGGAGTACCACAGTATTAGGCTAAAAAATACTGTATTTTGACAGCAAGAAGTTATTAGCCCGAACTGTGTTTAAAGTACTCATAACTCATTAGAACTAACTTGATGCACTTAGTCATGACTCAAAAGCGATTCGACACATTGAAACTTTTCCTCGCAAGTTCTCAAGGAACTTCAAAAATATGGAATACTTTTTATTGATTATTTATATTATGTTCGTAACACACTCTACATATCTCTCAAACAATCTTGATAATGATCTAATAATTATCAAGTTACAATTAACTGTGACTTTACGCGTATGATCCGTTGATTTGGTCCAGACTTTGTACATATTTGAACCCGACGTTGTGTAATTACAAGAAAAAAAAGAAAATTTCGATACATAACTAAATTTGTTTTTAATAATCGAACTTTTTGACTTTTGAATGAGAATTTCATGTTACTTATCTTTTACAAGAACTGTTGAAAATTTTTAGATTATCATGCTACCATCATCAAGTAAACCAGATATTCAACTTCAAGTTTATTTTCTTGGTTGTGATTCAGATTCTATAATTCATGCATCAAAAGATAAATCAATTATGGATCATTTATGTCGTTCAGCAACATATAAAACTCAAAAATTTGAAAAAATATATAAAAGAAAAGAAGCAAATCGTGTCACTGATATTGATCAACTTTCTTTATTAGACAATTCTATTTCATTTCCATCAAAAAATACTACAAGGCATATATCAATAGAAATTACCAAAAATGAAAATCCTAAACTATCAATACCAATTGTTAAATCTAAGACAAGTACACAATCATCATCATTGATTGAAGCTAAAATAGACACAACAATTCTTATTCCTCAAGCACCACCATTACCAAATTCGTTCGATTTAGCTATTAAATCACAATCAAAATCATTTAAAACAGTAGCTATTTCACCCGACCAAGAAACCTTATGGTCAAAAGTAAGACATTTATTTTTAGCTTCGCTATTAAGAAATTACTTCGAGTATTTACCAACGATATTGACATGACGCTTTCCAAGATAAGTTAAATGCTATTGATTTGAATCATTAAATTACACATCTGACACTGAGTCATAAAAGTTTTTCTGTTCTTTATTCTCACATGCAATCGATTTTTTTTTCAGGCAGAAAATTATGACGTTGCTGGTTATTTTAATTCATTAATTAACCCAATAAGTGAAAGTAAATTCTTCAAAAAACTTTTTTCAACAAAATCTATTTTTCTTTTCTTAAGAAAATCCAAATAAAATGAATGAATCAAAGAGCAAAACGATTCTTGACAATCGTAAATCATATAACCTTGGTTTGTATACCTTTTTCAGCGTAGTTAATGGTTTTTTGTTTCTTATTTCGGCGAATAATCAATTGCGTGTATTTTAATATAGAAACATGCGTCATAATTAATGTTTCTTTTTCTGTCAAGACGACATACAACATAACACTAGAAAAGAAAAAGTCTTCGTCAAGCAAATACGAACGTTCTTTTTATTTTATTACTAGAATATCAAAGCATGATTTGAAAGAAAAATAACAGTTTCACATTAAGTGAGATTGTCGTCAAGATATATTTTACCTTTTGTGAATGACTCATGAAGAACAAAATAAAATAAGATTCAGAAGAAACGAAAAATACTGATATTTACTCGTTGGATAGTGAGGAAAAAAAACGAACTTTATCATTCAAGAGGGCGAGGCCCAAAATGCTTCATTTCGTCGATAAATATGCAACAAACGTAATCTCATATGAAGAAATAAAAAACCTTTATCATTGCCTAATTTTGACAAGAAAAAGCATAAAAATAGCACATATAGATCACATGCTCATATGTTGATACTGTTTGTCATGAACAAATGAAGCGCAAAAGAGACAATTTTTTATACATCATATTTTCGTCGGTTGGAAAAAAAGAAAATGAAGAAATGCTGACATTTCAAGCTCTTTATTTTTTTTATCGAAAAAAGAAAAATAATCACAGAATGCAAAAAAACCCTTCATATATATATATATAGAAACAATCCATGCTTTCGTTCTCACTTAAATATACCAAAACTTCATTTTGTTTTCTCATATGAATCCATCATCGCAGCGTCCTCCTTCGCGCAATATATTTGACCAATACCTCGGTCAATCAAGTTCCTATAAAGGAAAGCACTTTGAAAATGCAGATGATTTCGTAGCTTGGCTATACCAACATGCACAATTATTGCAAAATGGACAAAACGATCCTGTGATGATGTTTTGTAACGATTCGTCAGACTCGATGGCATTATTGACGTCCGGCCGTTCAACAGAATTACCCCTATTTGATCCAGACGTTGATGATTTTATCAGTACAACAATGCTTCATGGGGATCAAAATTTAAACTCACATTTGCACAGCGAATGCGAACTATTGTGTGATAAAATTCTGGATTTTAATATTGACTTCGGACTTGTTGAAATAGCAAATGAGATGCCTATTACTCCATCAAATCTTCCATATGATTCTGATCGATTACCATCATCACCATCTATGAAAAAAAACCGGAAAAAAAAGCAACGTCGAGTACCATCAAATTTACCACATACAAATGCGCGTGAATGGAATGTCATGGATGATGGCACTGGCAAATTACGTAAACCGTACTTATACGAGTTTCTTCGACACTTGCTTGATAATCCAAATTATTCTTATATTGCTTCATATGTTGATAGAAATAAAGGCACTTTTAAATTTTATGAAAAAAATACTGCCGCTGAATTGTGGCAGCGCGTAAAGGGTCGAAATTCAGATTCAGGTAAATTCATTTTATTATTGTTTATGATTAATTATAAATCTCTTCATTTTTTTATTTTAGTAATGACCTATGAGAAGTTAGCTCGAGCTATCCGTTACTATTATAGCAGTGGAATAATACGTCCAAGTCCAGGACGTTTTACATTTCAATTTGGCTCTGGATCAAATTTCTGAGACAAATTGATGACAGCTTATTAATAAACGTCGATTGCTATTTTTCGTTAGCCAAACAATTTTCTTTTGATTTGATCAAATGAACATCTTTGTCTTTGTTTTCTTTTTGTGTCTTTTTTTATTACGGCAGGTCCGTTTTGAAGTCGGTGACTTTTTTTGTGTATATACAATAGATACAGTATTGCACATATTTTATGTGCATTTATATAGAGATGGAATATCAATGAGATTTGCGGATTTTGTTTTATCTCGACAAAAAAAGAAAAGAAGCCTAAGGTGAATGATTGTCTTTAAGAACTTTGAAAGAGAGAATTAAGCTGTGAATCATTATTAGTTTATTTCGTGATAAACTTTCTTTGTTTCTAGGTATTATATTGGCATTTAATAAACGTAGTCCTATTGAAATAGCTGAAGCAATAAAATACTTTGATTTGCAATTAATTTCAATAGAACTTGTTCAACATTTAATTCAGTATATACCTAATGATATTGAGGTAAGTCTATTAAAGACAAAATAAATATATCCATGGATTTGATTTTATATTCAAGCAAAAATAGAAACCTATCAAAAAACGTTTTTAAAAAACAAAAAGTTTAGTTTTATATTGTATGTCACCCTTAATATAGGGATTAGGATTATATTAAAACAGACTTTACACAGATTTTGTTTTTATTGTTTCTCGATGTTTAATTCGCTCTTTTTTATTTTTGTCGTTATTGTTTAGCATGAAAAAAGAAATTTTTGTCATCATTACCTATTATTAGTATTTGACAGTACTGCTTAAGCAGACAAAAAACGAAAGAAAAAAACAACGTTTCGATGTGTGAAAAAAGAACATTCTTTTAATCCTCCAAAACGAATTGTTTTTCTTTCTCGACGACAAAAAAAAGCCAGTTAGACAATATTGAATTTGATCAGCTTGTTGTTTTTTTCTCATAAAAAAAATATGGTTCTTGCTTATGCACAAAACTATTGACTTGCTCTGTTTTTGTTTGGCTAAGTAACTCAAAGAATAAATAAGTGCGCAATATTCTATTGAATTGGAAATTTCATAAAATCATGTTTTTTCAATTAAACAATCCGAGCATTCATAAAAAAACAAAGCAACTACTTGGATAACAATTATCATAAAAATAAGAGCTTATAATAAACGAATTTATTCTATATATGAATTAGATAACCAATCAATAATATAGAGCATAAAGTATATCATAATATATATTCATTCATGTGGATTTCGAGGCGTAGAAGAAAATAAAGTAACTATTTAAGATTTACACATGAAAATTATTTCTATATTTTATATAAATTGAAGTTAAATGTCTAAAATTTTTTATTATTAAAATAGATCGATGCTTTTCATCATTTATCTATTGATAAAGAACAATTATCGCCAACCGATCGACTTATGTATGAGGTCGGTTAAAATCATTAATGAATTCTAAGACATAAAATATTTGACTTCTAGATTATTCAAATACCATTTTATATGGAACGATTAAATACAATAAAATTTAAATTAATCTTTGATGAAAATTGTCGTTTATTAAACGATCAAATGCATATCATAAATGAATCTTGTAGTTGTTTATATCAATCAAACAATATTAAAAAATTACTTGAAGTCAGTTCTTGTATATTTTTTTCTTCATTTTTTTTAATATAAAAACTTCGATTTAGATAATACTTTCTGTTGTTAATCATTTAAATCCAACAGTAACACATCGAGTTCTTACACTTGATGATTTATCAAAAGTTTGAAAATAATTTTCTATTTGTCTTGTTTTTTTTTTCTCTTTTACTGAACATTATCTTTCATGCTTAGATACTTGATTTAAAAACATCACAGACACGTATACCAATTATGAATATTGTTTCAAAGATATGTATTGATCATCATTCGGAAATATTTGATCTTAAACAAAATTATAAATTAATTTTATCTGCAAGCAAAAGTTGAATGCTTTTAATTGATAAGTTTTTATTTATTTTTTAAATTTCGTTTCTGCTTTAGTTGATTTAATTGCAATTAAATCTGAAATCGAAGAAATGAAACAACAATTTGAAGTATAAAATACAGAAAAAAACAACAGATTTGATTAATTTTTTTTTCGTTTGTCTTTTAGCAAATTCAATTATGGAAAAATAGATTCGAAGAAAACATAGAAATTCAAGTAAAAAATCATAAAATTCTTCTGAATATAAAAAGAAATTAAATAATTGAATTATTACAGAAATTTCTTTCTAATTGTCAAGAAACATTAAATGTAATAATTCAATATTATCAAATAACACATGAACAATTTCATAAAACTATTTCTTATTTTACTAAAGAAATAACAACGTCAACTAGGTTTTTTTCAATTTTTGCCGGTTTAATTCATGCATTACAGGTTTAATGACACAAAAACAAGCGAAAAGAAAATACTCTGTTTTTTTTTCCATAGATCAAACGCCCAACATAATTGCTGTTTTTTTTTTGAATTTGATCACAAAGAGAAATACGGCAACGCCTGCAAAAAAACAAAACATGCTAATGGCATTATAATAAATTGACATAATGCTTTTCTTTTTAATGATGGGATGAAACAATACGTTTAAGTAAAAATGCATATTTTGTACATTTTCATGAGACTTGTTTGCTTTCATTTTCACTTCGTACTTTTTATCTTTCACAAAAGCAAACCTTTTTTACTTCATTTAAAAAGAAGACATAGATTTTTTTTGTGTGCATTTGCACAAAACAACAGACATTGTTTAAGGTGAAAGAATGGGACTTTCAGCTGTTCAACTGAGTGTATGTCTTCAATCTTATTGGTATATGTGGTCAGTAGAAGATAAAATCGAACAAAATATTTCCATTGTAATTTTTAAACATTTTTAGGTTGACCAATTCTATTACAGGATTGTTATTCACTGGTATTGGTATTGGTAAGAAGAGTTAGACTAATTTAAAAAAAAAAAAAAAAAAAATATCTTGTATGTTACATAAGGCATTGCTGCATTCTTTATGAAAAAATTTAAAAAGAATAAGCCAAATGCTAATGCGCGGGCACCCAGCACTAAATCTCGTGCAGAACAACCTTTCAGTCCAACTGATATAAATATACTTGACGATTCATATGGTAGTAGTACAACTGGAACAGGTGTCATTGGAAAATATGACACACGTGTTACTTCCGCTGCATCATGTATTTATTTTCTATGTATCGAACAGAATTTAATATTCATTTCTTTTAGCAACCGATACTAGTTTGACAAATCCTAATGAGGTATTTGCTCAAGCAACACTTCAAGCAATAAATGGTTTTCGTCGTCGATATGAAGCTCCACCATTAGACCTTAATGATCAATTATCTGAAATAGCTCAACGTTGGGCAGAACAAATGGCCAGTACTGGTAAATTACAACATAGTCCACCTGAGTGGCGTAATTTAGGGCGACAAACACTTGGAGAAACTTATGCTGCATCATTTCAAGCTGAATTAACAGGTTCCAGTCTTATGTTTTGTTTCTTTGTCAAAGAAAATTATTTGAATTTTATTTTTCGTAGGAGAAAAAATGGTTAGAAAATGGATGAAAGAAGGAAAACGATATATGTTTGGTTATGATGGACGTAAAGATACAGAAAATTTTACACAATTAGTTTGGCGAGCATCACAAGAAATTGGGGCTGGACGAGCTCGATCTGATGATGGAAATTGGTGGTATGGTGTTGTTATATTTGATCCTCCTGGTAATATTCCAAATCAATATGCAGATAATGTTCATTTACCAGCTGAAATAAAATAAATGAAATCTTATTTTCAATAGTTTATTAAAAAACTATTGTATAACGTTTTTTTTTGTGATGAACAAGCGAAAAGGAAACATCTTTTTATATAATGTATAATTGTAACTGTTAAGTTTGGAATGTTTGTTTTTCTATCATTATTAAGATTGAAAATCGAAAACAAATGAATTTTGTTTATTCATTAGTTTATAATATCACTTTTACAATAGGCATCCTTAAAAATTATATGAAAAAGCAAAATGATATCAATAGAGCACGAAGGACTTTTCTCAAATTGAATGATTATCTTTATCAAGTTCTGTTCAAGATAAACTCATTTGAAAACATACTCTAATGATTAACATTTCGTTCGTATGATTATAAAAGGTAGTTGATAGTGTCTAATCCAGATTTTCCTCTTTTCGAAAGAGCGATGTAAAACTTCGGGAAGGCAAGCAATTATTTTGGAACCAAAGACAGATAATAAATGTTATAATAACAACCAATTTCGAAGGGTCTATATGACCTTCAAAGAAACACCGTTCCCTTGACCTTCACTCTGGATAAAACACTAGCAATCCGACAACGTAGGACGAATGTATCCGCCCTAGGATAGATCCTTGCTGAAAAAATTTAACAGAAAAGGCAAAAAAAAGTAATTTGAGGATATGATTTAGTTATTTCGGAAGATAAATTTAAACAGATCAATAAAAAACAGCAACATTGAACAACAATAGACAAATAGGTGATAGAAAGAGAATCTACAGAGATAACAAACGTTCGATATACTTTAACTGATCTTTGTTGAAAGACTGTTTTTCTTTCTGTTTGAATGATTAACTGCTAGACTTATGTAGAGAATGTTTGGGTATAGGTGTATGGATCTTAGGACCCGTTGGATTAGCTCCGCATTTAATCGAGTCAGGCTTTGAAAATTTTGGACCCAATAGGGTCTGGTCGTTTGGAAAATGTGTAGGATGCATTAGACATCGAATACAGAAAACACCACAAAAAAGTCTTTTGTATTTTCTGGGCGACAATCCAATTCCGACTAGAAAATTTCATTGAGAGCATCAAAGTACGGTCCGATCAGATTTGAAAATTTAGGATTCGACGAGCTCTAATGAATCTTCTCTTTGCCTACACCCACTATCACATTCTTCATAGGAAAAATCAATTGATCACTGTGGACGATTTGCATTCATATTATTGTACATCATTTGTTCAAAAATAAAGATACAATTTGTTCGACGATCACGAATCTTAGCGCACATAAGTTCGAACGAACCATTGACAGTGCACGACTGTGTCATAGAAGATATTTCTTTCAAATATTATATTTAACTACGATTGACTTGCAAATTATTATATTTACTTTTGTTTTACGTGATAACAAATTGTGCAAGAAGATGAAAACAAACAATACACGTCGTCCTTCGTTTTTTCTCACGAAAACATTTCAAGTGAAAGTATCAATAACAATTAACTCCTTGAAGAAAGTTATGAGAGAAAATCAGAATTGAGCACGTTTTGTTACAACATATAAGAAATCGCGTTTGACTATTCATCGCTTGGCTTTCTAGTCTACATATCAATGAAGAGATAATTAACTTTTTATTTTTCATCAGTCTTTTATAAATATGTATGAATCAGATACTCAGGGTGCATTTTACAAAAAAATAAGTGAAATTATGAAGCGAGATAAGAAAAATAAAATTGTTTTTCCGATATGATGTCAATGGTTAACAAATAAATGTCTTATCAATTATGATATTTATTTTCGAACTTAACAATTCGAATGTGCGGGAAATTTTGAATGTAAAATTTATTTGTTCGACTTTCTTGTTTAATGTTATCATGTCATCAAAGACTAGAACACAAAAATCAACAACAAAATCGAATATATTAAAATCTTACGAACAATGTTTAAAACAAGGAATTTCTAATGAAAAAAAATATGGATCTGATTTTACAGATGGTTTCATTGTCGAACGATATTCATATCCACCGTATTCATGGAATATGAATCAATTGACATCCCATGACAAGAATATCAACAAACAACGTAACAATGAAAAATCAATTCAAACATCGAAGAAAAAAATTAAATCAAAATCAATTTCAAGAAAAATGAAATCGAATACATTACAACGTTCAAAATCGAAATCGAAAAAAAATCAACAATCAAAATCTCAAAAACGATAAAAATATTTATCAAAACTTTAGTTTTATAAATAATTTATCTTCCACATTTCAATCATTTGTATAGAATGATTGTCTAATCAATGAGTTTGTATATGTACATTTAGCCCCATTTGAATATCGATGACATTATATCATACGCACCGCTCGGGTTTGTCTCAAGATACTTTCTAGAAACTGGATAAGAGTTAAAGACAGCATGCAATTGGTTGACAACTCGATGACATTCAGCCGCTGTTGCACATCCTTGTAAAAGCTCTTGAATTCTTGTCGCATCCATAATCACTTCTTCCCATCCAGGTTCATCTGGTACTTCCCATATGTGATTATTAACCATAATCCTTTGCATTACTGGTCGAGATAATACTATTGCAAGTAGTAATAGTAATAGTATTGAAGAACGAAGAAATAAGTTCATATTTGTATTAAAACTATATGTTATTACTTGATAGATGAATGTAACAATATCAAGATTTTCAAAGTATCGGATTGGTTAAAAATATTGACTTGTATATCGTTTGTGTTGTGTTGTATAGTAATGGTCTCCGAATATTTATATATTTCAACTAATCATTCTTTATATGACTGTATTCTTCTACTAAAAATGTTTTTTTTCCCTTTTAATTTTTTTTCTTTTTAGTCAAACTGACGCACTAACTGCTTTTAGTTACTTTCGTCATTGGCACTTTAAAAAAAGGTCATGAAGCCATGCGCCATGAATGAGCATATTTTGAATTTACTTTGAAATATTTGCTTGCCAACGGTAGGTATTATTCATTGACGTATAAATCCAGAATAAATAAAAATAATATATATGATAGTTATTCATGTTTGATGACAGGATAGTAATATTAATAATTGTTTTGTCATGAAGATATGATTGAAAAGGGATAACTAAAACACTTCATGAATTGGAAATTTGAAAATTGTTTTTTTAATCATAGTAAGTTCGAGTTTTCTTTATTCTTTCGCAATTCTTCTGAATCATTTTAAGTTTGACAAATAATCGTGTGTTAATTTTCGTAAATTAAAATTATTCGACCAAACTAGAATGGATCAAATTGTCTGTATTAAAAACGGATGAATTATTTGAATTTAAAACGAATCTGTATGTTAATAGTTATAGTTTTTTATAGTGGTGGAGGTAGAAGTTTGGTAAATGGAGGCACTTCAACAGAATAGGAGAACGATTATGGTCACAAAACAAGTGTTGAAGTCAAATTAGAGATCGTATCGGTTCATTTTTTGGGGTATTGCCTACTGAAAAAAATTTGAAAAATGATTCGAAACAAGGAGCCGATCGTTTCCAATGCATCCCTCTGAATCTACCACTGATTGTATAGATTCGATATGTGATAAAATTGAAAGAAAAAACATAATTCGTATACTTTTTCGTCTGTGAATGAGAATCATATTGCATATTGTTAATGGTTTTAAAAAAGAATGAAAATGCATGACAATATAAAGTCATGATCAGAGTTTGTTTCAGATGTTATTGATGACACGAATTCAATAACATAAAAAACACTTAATAGAATTACATGACTTCATGAACTAAGTGACATAATATTTAATGTTACTTAAGAACTTATGTGAAATAAAATAATTAGAACAAAATATTTGATTCTATCTCGACAAGTAACTATCAATTTACACTTTTGCACGTTTTAGATACACACGATGGGCATAACGAACGGTTAAAAATTTGAAGTATAGGTTTTTTTGTTGTTCGTTCTGTTGTAGTTTTGAATTTCTCGACAGACATTGGATTCCGAACACTCGAAAATTGTATTTTATCGGGTACTCATTTTTGGTCCTTTGGCACTCATCGAAGTTTCTAATACTCGGCGAAAGGTAACCTATTGAAAGAATCATACTGACTCCTCGGGTGCATTTCAACCACTCGAAGACAAAAAAAATACATCTAAATAATAATTTTGAGTACTTCAGTACAAGCAATCTTGTCACAAAATCAGTTTCGATTGCTGAATCTAATTTTGATTATGTAAAACTTTTTCAAGAAGCAATTGTGAAATTTGTTTTACTTTTATTCAACAATCTTAGCAGAATTATTTATGTTCAGGACTTGAATTTCCTAATTTGCTAAGCAATATTTAATATTAACTGATAAAAACTAAGACTAAAACCCGTCAGCATTCTTGAAGTAGACATAATCATAATGATTTTTCGTGTTCTTATATAACATTTGGACTTCAAGCAAAACATTTCCTTTGGCTGAAGAGGTGCAAGAGTTTTTTTTTTTCTTAAATAAAAACTTAGGAGCAAATATTAGTAAAATAAAAACAGTTGTCGAAGTATGATCTTTTTATGAATTGAAACAATGACTTTCATAAAACAATAAAATTTCATATTTAGTTTACATGTTCGACGCAATCGAATCGTAGGTACCGAAAAAAAAACCTTAACACAATTTAAATATGATTTAAGAAAAGACAATGAACTTGAGCGATATTTATTGTTTGAATTCGATAAGAATAAACAAATAATTGAAACTTTACAATTTTGAAAGAATCATCAGAATAATTTTTCGTTTCTTTCAAAATATGCTCGATCTATTCCAGCAACGACAGCTAACATAGAAAGCCGATTTTCTATTGCCGGTTGGATTTTAAATGAAACATGGGGACATTTTCAATAAGATAAATTAAAAAACGTTTTATTAGTATGATTAATAGAAAAACATTTCTATAAAAAAAAAATTATATCTTTTTTTTAAGTTAGTTTGTTTCTTACTCATGAGTGTTATCTTACATTTTTTTTTTCTTTTTCTTGAATATTTTTTCAAATTAAGTTCTATAGTAAAGCTTATGAATCTAAGTTATGTAGCTATATTATTTAATTTACTTTTTCTGTTAATACTCATGCATTTTATTAGTTGAACTATGAATTACTATTATTGTAAAATGAATTAAAATAAAAAAATCGTTTATGATATCATGAGGACAAATTTTTTACTTTGGAACTCAATTAGAAATTATAATCAAGAGAGTGTGTCAGACCAGCACAGTACCCTGTCCTGCCTTGCCTCAGTGAACCGAGTAGGTCAGTATACGAAAAAAATTACTTTGTGGACACCTTTATTGTACACGACCCCTTGGTATATTGATTTATGTATTTCATTTTTGCTACTCAGCTTTTTATTAATATAATACATGTTATTCATGATAGTGATATAATCTCAAGAATTTATTCAATCTTTTTAGTATGGTAATATTTTATTCTCTAGATCGTATTCATCATTTATTCATAATCAGTTTATTATACTTAATTAGTTATCAAGTGAAGTAAATCATTTAAATATTTTTCTTATTCATGGTGAACAAATATTATCAGTTATTAATATTCTACAAGGACAAAAATGCGTGTAAGCGACTTGTTGTTTTACCTTTTAGGTCATATTCTGGTAACCGTACAAGTGTTAAAAATAAATATGTATATTCTGTCATTTATAATCATTAGTTGTATTACAGAGATTCCATTGCGGCTCGAAGTCCTAACACTGCTGTAGTGGCTCTTGAGAAATTCTTCAAAAACAGTGCCGCTACTGCATTGCTAATGTAGTGGTATTGGTAGTGCCCCAATAGATATCTTTGTTGTGTTGCTAACACAAAAGAAACAATTAGATAGTTTATCTATCATCAGTATAATAAAATAATTTATTTTTGATTATTCAGCAATTTATTGTATTTCACTCATGGTGAAACCTAGAAAATCTTTCCTATACAACCAATAAACATTGAAAATACATTGATGAAATTATAAAGTTTACTTATTACAATACAACATAAAGTTGAAAAATGAGATTTAAATAATGAAATTTCACGGCAATTGTTCCGACCGTCGAAAATGGCGTAGTACTGCATTAATTTTTATTATATTTCGTCATAATCCGTCAGCTGTTTTTTTTTCGCTGGTAATCAGTCATCATTTCTCCTACTAATTTTACCGTTTTATATTGTTTATGGCGTTGCTTTCTTCCACTTGGAATGTTATTCCTTTTTTTTGCTCCGTCATATCAAAAATAAAAACGAACAAATTTTCATTTTTATCTATTTTTATTTCAGATTCTAAATATTTTGAGTTGGATAAAAAAGGTACAAGAAACCTTTAGTAGTATTGAAATTAATAAATAACAATCTACTCATTTCTATCTATTCTGTGAATACTTAATACTGCAGTTATGACTGTAGATATGTATTTAACGGCATGTTACATATATAAAAATATTTTTTCTGAATAAATAAGTGAAAAAAATCTTAATATTGGTAATGTTGTTTAATCAAGTGCTCATATGATTCATAGATGTACAGCGAAATATTCTATTCAAATGTTTGCATTAAAAACATCGCTCTACAGTACAAAAACATTGATGAAGCCAGTGAAGTAGAAAAAAAATACTGAAAGAAAAAATATGACGTCATTGTATTTCGAAAGTCTTTAGTTTTAACCTTCAACTGGTTTTTCCATAGAACACTAAGCAATCAAGCAACAACAAAAAAATGGACTTAAAGTCTTTTCAATGAAGCAGAATCGATATGTTCATTTAAGCATATATGCAAATGAATGCAAAGATCATTCGAATAATTTTCTTATAATGTAAAAGATCTTTGACTATGCTTTGAAATTCGACTTTCACGTTTCGATTTCAAACTTTGCACAAACAAAGCTCTTATATGAGAGAATTTTGAATATTCTATATCTCAGGATAGGAGATACTAGAAAAGTTATAAATCGTTCAATGAACTGATCTCATGGAGAACTTTGTTCGTTCGAAGTTTGAATTAAACAACTAAATGTGAAGACCCCGAAAACAGAACCGTTCTAGACTTTTCTATGACTCATCAAATGAGCATTGTCTTGGTCGAAAAGCGATTTAATACTTTGAGAAGTTCTCTTGTTAGTTATGAAATAAGATCAAATGAGTGAAGATATGACTTCGTAATCAACAATTATGTTATATATTCTTTAATCTATCCCCTAATGTAATTTGTTTTATTGAGTCTATATATTCTTTTCACTTTTCTACACCATAAAACAAAGTCATACAAACAATGTAACTTAAAACAAGATTTTGTTTTCAATTGGAAATGACAACTTAAAAAGAAAACAATAAGAATAAGAATAAGAAACAAAAACAAACGGAACAGTGCAAGACCAAGTTGACAGTTAGAAAGACAATATTAGATGTATACTTGAATAGATGAAAGTTCATTCTTATTCTTATTCTTGTTAATTTAGTTGCTTTTTTTATTACCAGAACCAATAACAGCTGTAACACGATGTTCATCTGTTTCATCATTGTCTGATTTACCAGTTTTTAAATCTTGTTGTTTTTGTTTAAGTTTATTTGAAACTTTTGTTAAAGTTGTTGCTGTTGATTGTGCACTGCGTTGTTCACTTCGACGTCTCATATGAAACTAAATAAACATGATTTTTTTTAGAAGACTTAATGTTATACTTAAATTATCTATACTAATTTTATCAACACATTTGAAAGTATTCGATTATAAACAATAACAGTGACAAACACGTTCTACTTTCTTCGATTTAAGAGAGAAATGTTAATTCAAATAAAATTTTCCTGTATTCAATAACTGATACAGTTGTCGAAACATACAATAATTAAAAAAAAAGCATCAACCAATCTAGATAGTATAAGCACTTTTATCGATTGTTTTATCTTAATTACTTTGTCAATTATCGAAGGATACGAAAACTTATATGAATTAATCTTTTTTTGATTCTGGGCCTATCATTCTAATATGATAGATCATTATTAGATTCTATTCTCGAGTTATTCACGTTATAATCGAGTACATTCAAATATTGTCCTCAATTGTTTTCTTCTACCATATTTTCTGTTCAATTCATAAACCTACTTGATTAAGAATATATATAGATCTTTCTTTATTAATCATTTAGCAGTGTTTTATCGAGGTTTTGTCTTCCAGAGGGGCGATTTAAAACTTTGGGATGGCGAATCTCGAGTTTTTGAAAAGGCACTGATCCCTCAATCCTTACGCCGGATTGAACAATATTAGTTAGAAATAAATCTTGTCTGCTTTTTATTTATGAATTTTTGCTAATGGATAATCGAAAAGTAATTTGAAAAAAAAAACTAAGTTAGAATCAAAATTTTGCATGATTTCCTAATATAGATTCGAAATTTCTCTGAGTCTAGGAGTTACGAGTCGAACTTTCAAAGATCCAAAAATGCAGTTTGGTCGAAGAAAATTCGCATCTTTTGTAGCAATAGTCTTCTTTTACTGCATATGTTATATTGTTCATATTTAAGCATAGAACTAAAGTAACTTACTTTACGAATTTGTTTTCCATAGAAATCGAGATAATCGAAAAAATATTTCTTACCCAAAATACTCACTATTGACAAATGACTTAGAGTAAATTAATCATTAGTATATTATTTTATAGAGAAATATTTACTCTTTTATTATTTGAAATAATTTTCGTCTCTACGTTTGTTTTTCTTTTGGTACGTTGAAATTCGACTAAATTTATTTTACGGATCTCTAAAAGTTTGACTCATAAGTTCTAAACGAGAAGCCCCACAAAATCTTGGAATCCATATTCGGAAATAACATAAAATTCTGATTCTAACTCAATTTGTTTTTCAAATTAGTTTTCGACCACCTGTTAGAACATGTTCTTTTAATAGAATTTGAATACAAAATCTATTGAATCTTATTATTCGTCCTATTTATAATTTTTTCTTTTTACTTGAATAAAATTCCAAACCAGCCAAAATTGAAGACTACCAATTGTGACAAGTGTAAATAAACGTACAAGTGGTGTATTAAAATTAGAAACCATAATTGATTCATCCGATATATCATTTGAATTTGCAAGAGAAATCGATGTAAGTGATATTTTATTAACAGATGAACTTTTTAAACCAAACCAAAATGTTAACCATGTTAAAACAATCGATACTAAACGACCAACTATAAATACATAATTCCATATTTTAAATAAATATGTTGAAATTGATTTAGCCTTTGTTGAATGTATTTTAGTTGTAGCATAAAAATAAGCTAAACGTGATGTATGATAAAAAATTTCAATAAAATAATGTATGGTTAATAGAACTAATGATATACGCCAAAAACGTGTTAAATAACCAGAAATTATTGTTATTAAATATAAACTTGTATAAATAATACGAGATGGCATATCTTCTTTTCGAACTTTTTGTAAATATAATTCAGGAAAATTATGTAACCAATAAGAAATTTGTATAATAAAAAAAATTTTTGTCCATATTGTCATACCTGTATAAGGATAATCACGCCATAGATAGTTTAAACCAGATTGAAAATAAGATTCATCCTTAAATATCATTAATGCCAATATAACACTTATAATATAGAATAAAATAAGTTGACCTGATTCAAAAAATTTTGCATTTTTAGATTTTGATAAGTGTAATTTTTTATTTAATTTATCTAAGATATATTCTTGCCAAATAGCATGAAGTGTTATACATATCAGAGTATAAGAAAAAAGCATCAATAAATCTTTATAACCATAATTAAAAAGTGCAGATGGTATCATATTAAATGAATCAAAATTTGTTACGTTATGACGAGGACCAAAAAATGCCGCACAATAAGATGATGTTGCCTTAACTATTGTACCAAGGGTTAGAACCATTAAAATACAAGATGCAATATCACCTGAATAATATAGAATAGTTTTTCTTTGAATTCAATGTTTCTTCTTTATGAATATTTATCAACGGAGAATTAGACATATTTCTGCACTTCCGGAGTATCGAGACTAGATCTCCTTTCGTCATATGTTATCTTTCGTTTTCTGCATGTCAATCGGATCAAAAGAAATAAGTTGATTTCGGATTCGATCAGATATGAGTCCGAAAGTTTTGTACATAATGAGCTCTAGATTTTATTAGGCCTGTTTAATGAAAAAGATACATGCTCTGCAGAAAGATTGATTATCTGTCGATGTGATTCCTCTAACGAGGGAACTACCCGACCTGATACCCAATGTTTCAGCCCATATTAGGTCCACAAGAAAGCCTCAGTACAACTAGGAAAAGCTTAAAAAGATTCGTGGTCATAGAGATCGCTGGAGCAGAGTTTTAACCATTTTACTGGATTTTCTATCTGAAATTCGGTCCATAAACAGATCGAATGACTATCAGAATATGCTGAGACTTTTAACCGAAAAAAAATGTTCCTTTATTCAGATATTGAATTTTTAAGTACACTTGATTTTTTGTAGCAAACGACCAATTTTGGGAAATTCAATATAGTGACTAAGGAACATTCTTTTCGACTAAAACTTTCAGGATATTCTACTCGATCCGTTTATAGGCACAATTTTAGATCGAAAATTTAGTAAAACAAGCATAACTTCGCTCCAGAGAGCCATGGACACAAATTCTTTCAGAATTTTCTTAGTTCTAGCAAAGCCTCCTCGTGGACCCAATATGAGTTCGAACAGCGAGTATCAATTCGGATAATTATCTCGTACGAGAAACTAATGTTTGAAAATGGTTCTTGGAAATGAGTTGTCTGAAAAAATTTTATTTTTTCAAACAGAGCAATAATATATCAAACAACTTAGTTTTGAGAATTGTTTCCGGAGATTACGTTCTATCAAAAGAACTGCTCACACAGATCAACTACTTATTATCTGTAGAGCAAACTAAATATGTAAAACTATATAGAAGAAGATGCGCAGATGTAGAAATACAGAAATATGCCTTTTCCTAGTTGATACTTACCATGATTTTGAATAAAATATTCTTGACTAAAAATAGGTGGATTTTTCGATGTAGTTTTTTTCTTAAGTACTGCTGATGGTGGTGCCATAATTAAGTTATTAATATCCCAGATACACAAAAAAAAATCTATGAAAGAGAAAAAATTCGAAAATCCACAAACAATCTAAAATAAAGAAAAATAAAATATTAACATTATCTTCTCTGTAATTTATTCTATTGAACAATTCATTAATATGTATTTTTTTGCTAATACAAATAATTCACTTGATACTTTACCATTTAAAATTCATCAGTATATAGAAGAAAAAATTCATTTATGTCATTATTCGAAGTCTAAAAAAATACAACTATTGATAAGTTTTATGGCAATTCAAAATAGTTGAAAAGAATCTTATTTCATACTTTAGTGATATTACTACAAATGATCCTCGTGATGTAGTTCGTATCAAATTATATACAGTTATTTGTACAAAAACTATAAATAATATACTAAATTAAATGTCTTTATTACCTATCCTGGAATATATTTCTTCAGCATCTATTTACTAAATTCTTCAGAAATGCAATTAGGAAGTAGTTCATTAACGAACTGTGAAGAGTATAAAAGCAATAGTATTCTATTTTTCTAATCACATTAACATAATCTATTTTAAGTACTTGTGGAAAAAGAAATCTAGCTATTCTTCGTCCAAAGTGATCTTTCCGATTACATTGTAGAATCTGTTGGTAAGCAAAAACATACTAATGAAGAAAAACACGTTTAATATTAAATCGGGGAATATTTTTTCAGATGATGATATTACTTAGATACATTTTGATGAAGAAGGTCGTTTATAAGCGCAATAAATTGAAAAAAATGGCTCTTTCTTATAACAATTGAAAAAATACAAAAAATAAAATCTTTTATTAAAATTTACTTGTGTATACAGCAATTAAACAATGTGCAATATTCGATCCTGGATGGAATAATCCTGAAGGTGTACCATTAAGTTAATGGATCATTCAATTGGCAACATGAGGTTTTTATTAGTGAACCTATGATATCAAAAGCTACAGCTGAATTTAAAGATAAAAAAATCAAAAAGATAATCGATTTATTTGTTATTTTCTTTAGAAAAATAAATAACATATGATATATTTGCAATGAGATCTTGTCTTCGACTATAATTTTGAACAATATCTTTCACATTGGTTTATTTTTTTGAACAGAAAGAAGGAATTCATTTATCAAAAATTTACTGTGAGTAGTTGACAAGTTTTTCGTAACGCTAGGCGCAAACGTGATGTTAATTATTTATATTTTTAATGCGAAGTATGTCTATTAGTCACAACAGTTATGCACTAAACTGTCAATATCAGTCTTAACAAATCCTTACTATCTCCGATTATTAGGCAATTTTTTCTTCGTAAGCATTTTCAGACGAATAATTAGAGTACACGCTATTATATAAAAACTCGCTTGTTGCTGGACTCAACTGCTACTCAAATCCATCATGCATCAGTTGCTGCTTATGACTAAGATTATTTATCTATCCAATAACCACTGTCAGTCTAGAAAACATTGACCCTATGAAAGATCCACATATTAAGTATTGATCTAATAACCAATATCTTGGATACATCTTACGATAGTGTGTATGCCATCCTAAAATAACATCTGCAACTCAGGAATATATCATCAAAATGGATACCTCATGAACTGATACAAAACCAACGACAAACACACTTGAACATTTAGACTAAAAACTTAGAAAAGTTCGAAAATGATTCATAGGGCCTACGTGATATTATCACTGGCGATGAGACTTGGAACTATCAACTTCCGATAGTAGTTTAAAACAACGATCGAAAGCATAGATAACAGAAGAATAAAGTACATTCATGCCTTATGAAGTATCTATTGATGGTATCTATTATTGTGATAAAAACTTAGATACATTGTTCAAGAAGTTATTGAAAATAGGCCGTCATTAAAAACAAATGGTATCAAACTTCATCATGACAACACAACGCCCCATATAAAAGATGTTATGATTCATTATTTCCTAGAAGAAAAAACTCAAAGTTAAAGTTCATACTCATCTAATCTTGCTTTTCTAAATGAGCTTAATTGGATACCTACTGATGAATTCAAAAAAAAAGATTTTTCAGAAGTAGATTGAAAGGATGAGACTTTTCTATAAATAAACTTTTGAAAGTATCAGAATTTTTCGACTGACCTAAGCATCATGTTTAAATGGTTTTGTTAAGCATAAACAAACTAATCCAATATTTGGTGACACTAATTATTCAAGTTATAGATTGAATATTTTGTCATTTAATAAGTAATTCGACTCAACAAGCACCAATAGATATTTTTTTACCAAGTAAAGTTTAATGATATTCATAGTGATAATATTAATTCAATATCATTTGAAGTTTGGAACGATTTTTGGCTTAATGAATGTAATGCTATGAGAAAATATCAATGAAAATTTACCCGATGAAACTGCGTTAGAATTACATGCATTAGAAAAATGTTTATCATCACAATAAGTGTGAGATTATTTTCAATTATTGCGGACAGCTGGTTAACTTTTTCTTTTTCGTCCTTTTGTGTTTGCACATTAATCTTGGCCAATTTTTTTCTCTCTCTTTCGTTTTTTTCCTGTATATTGCAAGTATAGATATATATATATATATCGATCGATTTACTGTTTCGTCGTGTTTTTTTCTTAAGCAAATACTTTTACTATCGAGTCTCATAGCATAAGTTTTAGAACAAATATGAAACTAAATAACATACATTTTTATCAATACAGAAAATTAAAATCCATTCTGTTTGAGAATGAATATTAAGTATGGGTTTCAATTGATGATGAAGATAGACAAATACGAGTTTTTTATCATGGAGATGAATTGATTTTACTTAGAAATGTTTGTTATTTTATGCTGGTTGTAAGATCAGAATTAAAATTTTTTCTTCGAAGAATAATTAAATTATCTTATTATTCTTTTTTAAATGAGATTATAACGTTAAGTGAATACGATAAAACAATGACAAACATGTGTACGTTCTTCACATTTATCATAGTGAGAGTACGATGATGATTATAAGTACGAGAAAGTATACGATAAATATGGCGACATACACTACTTATTTTGACCACTGAAACATCTTTGATTGAAATTTTGTATATGAAAGAAAATTGAATTTTAGTATTTCATCCAAGAAATTTCTCTCGTGAACAGATAGGTATAAAACTCCAAGGATGAACCCAATTTTTGATAGAATATCGTTCATTCTACTCTCTATGCTAATTAAAAAAAAACCTTTCTCTTTAATTGAGGTGAAAAATTAATATTTGCAGAAGTTTTTAAACAAGAAAATAAATATTTTTCTAAACATAAGAAGACGGTATTAAGAAAATATGTTCGAAATACTATCTTACTTAATAACAATACTAGACAAAAGAATATAAAACTATACAACTATGAATTTCAACTTTTGAATTAAGATGTATTGTATATATGAGCGAAATTTTTATAAAAGTAAAGTTGCAAAAATATCAAAAATGTCAGATATTGAATGAGACTTGGAAATTTTCCAATAGTGCATTTTCAATCAGTTTACTCTCTCAAATGGAAGACAATGTAGATTTTTGTAATGTTGTTGAGTGAAAGAATTAGAGCTTGTCGGGCATGTTCTGGACTCTATCAAGAATAATAAAAAGGTGTGCGGGTAGGTGTGTGAAGAGAAAAATGATAGCCACATCCACACCTACACCCTGAATGAAATATTTCTCTGATATAAGCTTATGTACCGAAAGAGAGAGAATTTTAAATTTTACAAAACTAAGAACTTCGCATTCAAAAAGAATATTTTGTCTTTGTACGGCAATCAAAACATTTATATATCCTGTATATTTCTACTACAACGCATTATTGTTCATGATAGAGAATTTTGTTTTCTGCTCGTTCTATCCGGTTTCGAATGTTCAAGCTTTATTTTAAACAATGAGATTTTTTTTTTTAGTTAAAGTTCAGTTATGTAGTCCTTTTTGAACAGCAAAGAAAAACTATATATTTTATCTTGGCTGACAAAATTTCTTAGATTCTCTTCTAGAATATTATACAATAGTTTCTATCGTAATCGATTAATTCTATTTACCGGCTTGGAAAATATTTACTACTATTTAATAGTGAATTAGCACCACTAAGTATATGTCTTGTGTAATCAATTTTCCAACACTAAAACAAGAACAATAAATTTTCATTAAGTTAATTATATAAAATAATTCTTCACTACTTTTGAATTTTCATAAGTTCTATATAAAAATATCCATTATATAATTTCAATCATTTCTCAATAAGTACTGAGTAAACTTTCATTCTAAATAAGAAAACAAGAATATAAATACATGTAAAACAACAGATCAATTATTCAGTTAAAAAAATGTTTTTTTTCGTATTAACGAAGAATTCGGTCTAACTAATCGATATCAAACGTATTTATTTCTAACTCTGTTTTTTTTTTCGAAATAGTTACAATATATATATATATGAGCGAGCTAGGAACAATCAAGGATGGATGAGAAGAGAAGGAGAGGGAAAAATACCTGAACGACATCAAAGAAGTAAACGTTTTCAAAATACACGTAAGTACAGGACATGAAAGAAAAAAATAATACATATATGTATGTTGTTGGTGTCATCTGTATGACATAGTAGACGAGAACAGAAGAAGAAAAAAAAGAAATATCAGCGAAGCATAAATTGCACTATAAAATGCAATATTTATATTTTCAAACACTTTCATTTTATTGTCAGAGGCATATATTCCCGTCAAAAAGTTTAATCTCCTAATTCTTGGTGGCCTCCGAACGCCCCTACTTACCATTCAGATACTATACTCAACAATCAATATTTATTGATTGTTGAGTATAGTAAAAAAAACTAAAAAACTAAAATACTTAATCAATTCATTAATCTTACTTGCTGAATATGATGAATTGAAGTGATATGACTTAATGTTTCATATAATCAAACATTTCAATCTTTAACTTTAGCTTCTGATTGATTTCGACATGAATAAAGAACATCTAAAAT